TACTAGCATGGGGTACCTAATAAAGTGGCCGGTGAGTGTATAAAGCCTATGCACTTTTTTGGCTCAGTTTGTCCTCTTATGTTTATGGAATGATATTGTTATAATGGCAGCTACTTCCAAAATGTTTTCATTTCATTGAGTTAAAGGACCACTGAGGCCATGATAACCCTTATTTTGTTATTTTTAGTTTTATAAATCCTAAGCGCTTTTTGTCAATGTGTCCACTCCAGCAATAGTAATATTTGTGTCCAGTTACAAAAGTCATTTCAATACATACAGCTATTTACGAATGCAGTTGCTTTCAGTTATTTATCAATTGGAATACACTATCCAGATCATACCCAGCCAGTCTGCCACTGGTAATGGCTGTATTTTTTTCTAACAGTGTTAAGTGAAAATATTGCAATGCATCGCAATAATTCAAGTATCGGGATGCATTGTGATAGAATCGCATCCTGGCCTGTGAATCGTGATTCGAATCGAATCATGACTTCTTTGGCAATACCCACCCTTAATGTGCAGTGCACACAACGCTCAGTGATGTGGTTCCTGTTGCAGAGATGGTGCACCCGGCACTGTGTTGTTTTACCATGGGAACGTCTCTTCATCTCACGAAGCTGTCTCTCCTCCACTGCAGCCGCGCTTGAGTTATATTTGCCCCCATTAAATAGGGCAGATGGTCATTATTGTATAAATATACTTGCTTTCTACAGCATTTCAGCTCATGCAGCTATTTTCATTGTACAGACCAGTTATCGTCTGATTGCTGCGCTGGTGGCTCCACTGTCTGAAATTATTACGGTGTTGGTGATAGTGATGATGTAGACCTATTTATATTTAATTACAAATATGATATTTCCCCGCCTGGCCTCACGTAAAACACTGGTCAACAGAGAGGCTTGAGCTAAAACTCAAAACTGAAGGGGGTGGAATCATTCTCCAACGACAGCGCTAATGGGGCATTTACGTCTGAAAAGGGATTTATGAGTTGTGAAGTACTGTTGGAGGGACTGGAGGCTGACGAAAATTCTCGTATCTCTGGGCTTTCTAGTGTTAGGTTCTAACTTTGTTAGAAATAAGAGCATCATCTTAGCTCATTTGCATTTCTGGGCCATATTTAGTAGGGGGGCCAGGATGAGGCCAGTGTAAAGTAAACTCATGGGGCCCCAGAGAGCATGAAACAAAAACAGCAATAGTTTATCATTTAGAATATTTCAAGAGAGCCACAGAACCAAAGATCCACTTGTGGCCTTGCACTGAAGGAAGTGAAATGTCCCGTCTTTTAGTTAAAGGGGAGATAGAATGCAAAACCAGTTTCCATTTTCATAGATGAATAATGACAGTTCAGTGAGTGAAATGGACGTACAGAGAAGTTCAAGGAGAACCTTATGGTCGTGAAAACACGGTAATACAATGATTATTTCTTGCTGAACGGACTTTTCCTTTAATGAAAAAAAAAAGATCAGTAACATGTACCGGTAGGTTGATCTGGAATGAAAGAATCACTGCAGCATGTATTCATAGTACGGCTATTAAACATCTTCCTGAGGTTTTCTGCAACAAAGAATATTTAATTCTAGATTTATGGTTTCAGTGGTGATGAAATAAAAGCTAAATAATTTTTATCTGGTTTTATATCTTGATCAAAGCGCTGAAGAAACAAAAGCCAGGTTTTCCTAGATAGGTTAACCGTTTCTGTCCTGCATGAGAGGCAGCAGTCATTACATCTGGAGGCACATCTTTATTTACCTGTAACTAATCTGTAGAGGCAGCTGGCCCTGGGCCATATTGAGGAGACAGCTTCATTACTTACTTAGCAGAGGCTAATAGAAAAGCGATGTGTAATTACATCAAACCTAAAATGGAAAGCTGCATTTTAATAATTAAAGTCCAGCGGATGACCAGTGAAGCATGATAAAGTAGTTTCAAAATCATGGATTACAAGAGAAAATCCCAGCAGGCCAGATGTGAGAGCAGGAGGGGCCACATGCTTTCTGGGGCCAGATTAAGGAGAAAATCCCACAGCAGCGCTCCGTCTTTTTTTTCCACCCCAGCTTAGAGGCTTGTGTCGACTCAACATGCTGTAATCCACCGATTAGCTGATATAATCACCTGTAAATACACCTTGGCGCTGAAGTTACCCGGGGCCACGGCCTCGGCTCTGATAACCCGACCTCGTAGTGAACGCAGAGAGGAGTCAGATCGGAGCCGGATGAACTTTCTGGGAAGCAGACGGAGTTCCCAGACAGACAGCTATACTCGACATGATCCCACTGCTTTCCCAGAAACTGTGATGAATTATCTCCAAATCTGAATACTCCAAATGAATCCATTAAGTGCTCTGATGGAGCCTGGGTAATGTTTTACCTTTTCTCCCACAGATCAGCTTTTAATAAAGATTTAGAACACATTACATTGTTGTTTTGGGAGACGAGTGTAGTTATAACTAAATCAACAGTGCTTTGCAGGATGGTTTCTCTGACTGACTGGCTGGATGTGCTCTCTTCATCTGGCATGGGAGCCGGCTCGGAGCTCGTCTGCCTGGCTGTGCGTTTCCTGGACAGGGCCGCCTGTGGAGCTGCTTCTTTTGCTTCTGTGGAGATGCTTCTTTTTTAGTCTCTGCTTCTGTCTCTTTGAACCCCAGTCGGCCTCAGCCGAGTCACACCGAGTCTGGTTCTGCTGGAGGTTTCCTCCTGTTAAAAGGGAATTTTTCCTCTCCACTGTCGCTACAAGCATCCTTGGTGTGAGGGTTTTGCTGAAGAGTCGATAAGTCGCAATCAACTGGTTTTCCTTAGATATAAAACTTTAAATCAATCTGACTGGATGATCTGGTTGGATTGTCTCTGTAAAGCGCTTTGAGATGATATGTTGTGAATTGGTGCTATATAAATAAACTGAATTGATTATTGCCATTTAAAATTATTAGGTTTCTCACTTCACAACCAACTTTTTTTTTTTTGCAGGGATATATATATATATATATATATATATATATATATATATATATATATATATATATATATATATATATAAAAAAATCATATTTCTGTCTGTAATATAAAGAGCTGTTTTATTTTAAATTGAAAAAAAAATGAAAAAAAATACTTTACTTAATTTACAGATTAATAAATATTGTTCTGGTCATGCCCCAAGCTCTTTCAATATTGGTGTGACAATTTCAAATGGTTCTCTGAAGTGTTTTAATGTACCTTGATTCCGAACCCCCACATTGCATTGTTTGGATACTCTCCCTCCCTTAGGAACTGCAGCATTTCTATACAAACGACTTTGGTTTATGGAATGGTAACGGCTAAGAAAGTAATATTAAGGTTGTGGAAAACTGACAAGGTTCTTTGGTTTAAAATGTGGATAAGCGATTTTACTGATATTCTTTATTTGGAAAAACTGCGGCATGATGTTAAGGGCTCCACGATAAGTTCTGTAGTACCTGGATCATATTTCTCAGTCTAGGACTGACCCCGACAGCCGCTCAGTTTCTTAGTATGCAGCCCGTGCCTTCATGGATATGTAGTACTATTCTAAAGTGTAAATGGTAATCAGTGCAGTGTAACCGTTACTTAGATCATTTGTCGGGCTTGTTTCCATTTTTTTTTTTTATTTCTTTTTCCTCTCTTTCCCCCTGTTATTTTAATTTTTTTTTTTTGTATTACTACTATTGTTGTATTGGTAAGTGTATATTTTCTCTTGAACCCTAATTTTTTGATATATATATGTATGCTTTATACTTGGGTGTGTGATTTTTGTATATTTCACTTTGAAAACTTAACATATAAAAAAAATAAATAATATTTATTTTGCAACAGGTCACTGATGTGCATATAAAAAGGTACATTTGAAAAATTTTTAACTTATTTTTTGCGCATATATATTTCAATGCATGCTTTACTATTGTGATGTAAATTATTTAATTTCAGAATGTATTCCCCTCAAGTTATTTTTACATACATTTTTTCTAAGATGTATTAATTTTAGTTCATTATGCAAGTTCCTAAAATACTTAAAATTACTTGATAAAATAAAACTGTTACATAATAAAACACCATTATAAAATAATTTACTAATAAATCTAAATATTTTTATTATAAACATTGTCTTTGAAGCGAACAATTACTGAATTAATGCCTAAATAGATAAAGATCTTGTAGTAACTGTATATTATAAATTATCTGCTGTATCTCATGGGTAAATTATATTTATTTGACTGAATGTGTATTAATCTATTAATATCAGTATCTGTATGTTTTTGATTGAAACAGTTCTCTTTAGAAATGCGGGATTCCCTGGAATGAGTTTTCTCTCTCTATCAGAGTAGATGAAAGAACAAAGATTTCAAAAGTGTATTTTGTAATTTTTTTTTTATTATTTCATAAGACACTTTGAAGTCATTCCTGAAAGAAAAGACAGGATTTTGGTTCATAGCATATTAATGCCTGACAAGACGGAAACAAAATATTAACATAAAAAACATTTACAAATCATGAAAGCAAACAATATAAACAATATCTTATAAGACATAGCAGGGGGTAATAAATATTACAAACAAAACAAAAAAAACTAAAGTAAACAGAGTTATTTACCTATTTGGTTTGGGAAATGTTTGGAGTAAATTACTGATCTGAAAAGTTATCTCCCAGAGAGAAAGCTGTTCAGCTAAAGCTCTGCAGAATAATCACCACAAACCTCTTTCCTAAACCTGCTAACCTCACCAGGAGAAAGAAACGTTTTCTACTGCCACTTTCTCTGAAATCCGTAGTCATTTTGTGTTTTTTGTGCCTCAAGCCGAAACACGTATAGTGCAGAAAAACAACAACACCAAAACGGCTTCAGTCACTCGTTTTTAGTCCTCAGTTCATCAAAAAACATAAACTGGAAACTGTTTTTTTATATATATATATATATATATATATATATATATATATATATATATATATATATATATATATATATATGCTGAAATGTGATTGGCTTATTTGGACTGCTTTAATTTTTTTTTGGTTTGTTTTTTTATTTTATTTTGGGGGCGGGGCTTAGATAGGCCTCCCCTCTTTGGCTGTGTTTGCATTTTAACGAGGAGACGGAGATCAATTTAGGTTCAGTCAAGACTACGCTCATTTCATGGCTGAATATTTCGCTCTTTAGTGTTTTTACTGAAATAAAATGGTCGGATCTGCTTTCTAGAAGCTGATCAGCCTCAGATTTATTTTTTTTTCTTAGCAAACAAATGTATTCAAGATTCTGTGTTGCTTTCTTCAACAACAGAGTTCGACGACTCTTTCGTGGAGCGCAGGGATGAGGTTGTCGGACCTCCGCCCGGATGTCTCCTCTCTGCAGGTTCCACCCCTCCAGTGCTACTTCTGTTCCAAAGTGCAGGCAATTAATGTCTCTCTGCCCCTCCCTTTTTGCTGGAGGAACTCAGAAACCAATGAAGCATAAAGTAAAAAAAAACAAACAAAACAATTGCTGTTGTATAAATAAAAAAGGAAAAAAGAGTCCTAATGTAAGGGAGAGGGCAGTGGGACAAGAGTGCATCCGTGTCTGTAGAAAATCAGTCCATCCTCACAAAACAAGCGTTAATCCTTGTAATGTCCAAGCGCTGCAGGTCAGCCGTTAGGAAGAGACGTTATACTTCCCTGGAAAGACAAACAGAAATATTAGCGTGCATGTTCCCTGCCATGCACACAATGACCTAGAATAATACTATGGAGAGCGGTTTCATTTCAAATTAAATTAATACTGTAATAAATATTCCATCAAATGTTCCCAGTTAATACACTACAAAAAATTTGAACTTTTTTTTATTATTTACATTTGTTGTGTTTATTTTTCAAGATATATAATTATTAATAAAAAAATTCACAAAGGAAAAAAAAAAACTTTTTTTAGTAATAGGATTATATTTGTAACTTTATTTCAGAATGTATTTAGTGACGTCATTATGGGGAAGTTATTTGTATTTCTGTATTTCAACATATAGTTATTTGATATAAATAACTCTTGAAATAAATCAATCGTCAAATAAATAAAACTAAGTTTTTTTTATACATGCGTTTATATTCAAATAAAGCTTTAATAAATAAAAATATATCAAAATAAAAATTAAATAAAAAAAGAAATAAAGAAACTTTGAAGTACACTCATAAATGACTATGTGAACTAAAAATTTACTTTTTGAAATATTTTTTTCATTTGGCCTGGAGGCAATTGACTACTGGATGGATGGATGGATGGATGGATGGATTGATAGAAAGACAGATGGATGATAAACAGACGGATTGATAAATGACAGACGGATGTATGGACGTAGGGATGGAACGGTTTATGAAAACCGCCTGAACCATTCGGTTCGACTGTCTCGGTTCGGTTCGCGTGTGTTACGTTCGGTTCATGCGCTGCTCCTTTTTCTCATAGGCGAAGCGTTTACACTCCAGAGCAGAAGGTGGCGGTACTGCGACCAAAGCCAACCACCAGTAGTAAACAAGAAGAAGAAGAAGCGAAGCAGCGTAGCCGGGTGTAGCAGGGAAAAAAATCAGTTGTTGTGGAGAATTGTGTGGGTATGGCGAGTGGGAAAGAACAGGAGTTGGAAGACGCGCCAGCAGCACTTTATAGGTCTGCTGTATGGGAGCGCTTTGCATTTAGAGTGACCTACGATGACGGCGGAAAGAAAGTTGTGGATAAAAGTGCAACAGTGTGCAAGCATTGTGCAACACGTTTTGTTTATGCTAACAGCAACACGACCAACATGTCATGCTAACCCCGAAATCCCTCATACTCCGTCAGCGCTCCGCCCCGCTGCGCTCCAGACCGCCTGCGCAAAGCAAAGCCTAAAGCCTCCGCTGTGGCTCCCGGACGCTCCGCTCTGACTTCCTTAGAGATTGTAGAGGGCATGCGCCAGATGATTAAATTCAAAGCAGCAAAACACGTGGAAATGATCCAGGGTTTCCTCGGATCATTAAAAATAATTACAATTAATTAATTTTTTTGGATTTTTTCATCAATTTCATAAATTTTAATTTTTTCATAAATTTTTATATTTTTTTTTATTTTTCGGTGTAACAATCAACATATACCGAACCGAACCGAAAACCGTGACCTCAAAACCGTGAACCGAACCGAACGGTGGATTTTGTGAACCGTTCCATCCCTAATGGACGGATGGACGAATGGATTATTTCCTTTGTGAATTTTTTTAATTGAATAATAACTGTTTAAATGACTTTGGACTAAATTGCCTCTCCGTAGAGGCCAGGCTGATATTTCAGACTTACGATGCCGTCAGCGTGGAGTTCAGAACCAGAGTGGTGCGTATCCTGTAAAGCTGAGCCAGAGTCAGCTTCTTGTGCTGCTGGGCTGGTGTTTTCCTCTTTTTATTTTTAGGTGAATTACCGTCTCCCTCCGTCTTACATTTCCTATCCGAGACGCTAGATGGCGCCGTCTCCCCATCCTGCTCATCCAGCCCGGCGGAGATCCTACGACTGTTCATGGCTTCGGCGCGGCTCAGGCTGGCCTTCAGCTTGTCGGAGGGCATGCTCACGCTCAAGCAGTCCTCCGATCGGTTGAGGCTGTTCTGCCGCAGCTCCGACAGACTCTGACTGTGAGCCAGAGAGGACGGGTCCGTGTCCTCACAGTCCAGGTCCTGGGACTGGGACTGGGAGCTGAGAGAGTGTGCGTGGGAGATGACGTCTTCGCCGTGGACCCGCTGGAGGAGGTTGTCTTCAGAGCGGGACAAAGTTAAAGAGGAGAGCCTCTGCATGCATTTGATCCTGGACTGGACAGGAGGACGTCTGCGAGGTTTGGATGACGGCACCACAGAGAGCTGGGACCCCACAGACTCATTCTCTTCTTCTTCTTCCTCCTCATCCTCCTCCTCCTCGATCTCCTGCTCACCCAACTCAGCCTCCTGTTCTCCCACTTCCTCCGTCTCTTCCTCTCCACTCTGGACGGGCTGTTGCTGCAGCTCTCGGAGGAGGGATTCAGGTGAGAGGGTACCATAAGCGCTGTCCATGGAGAGGGACCGGTACAGAGGGTCCAGCTCCTCGCTCTCCTCCTGGATCTGTCCGATGTAAACGCCGGGATGGACCCTGTAGACGGGCTGCTGAGGCCCGGGGCCGTCCGACAGATGAGCCGCGTCCGACTCAGAGTCTTTTCCAGAGGACTCCTCCTCGTGTGCGCGGGAAGCGGGACGCTGCGGGAGCTCAGCCGGCTCGTCAACGTCCATCACAGACAGGGTCTCAGTCGAGCCGTCTGATTGGCTGAAACGACAGGAGTTTCAATCTTTAATGAACGCAGGCATCAAAGTGTATCTGAACATGTAATAAGGACAAAAATTAGAAAAAGAAAACAAGAACCAAGATTTTTTCCTACTAAATCAGTTAAGTTTAAAAAAATGACATTGCTTTTGAAAAACTAGCTTTTAAATCAATCTGCCACTCTGGGAGGTGACTTTAAACGAAATTCAAGCTCTGAAAAATGTTTTACAAAAAACATTGAAATATAACTAAAATGTTTGCAACTGGTGATTAATCGGCCGACCAATCGACCGGCATCTATTGTTGTTTAGCCAACTTCAGCAACGCTCTGATAATCCCATCAAAGCTCTAAACTTTCACTTCTTTTTAAGAGCAGTTATTGGAGAAGTTTCCATTTTTTCACGCTCAACTCTTTAAAGAAGGGCAGCCATTGCAGCCCTACTGAGCATGCAGCGACTATGTGTCCCTTCAGATGTTCGAGATGCATTTTGTCTAAAAATAAGCATTTTTGAGCTAAAATTTAGCATTTTTAGCAGTTTATAACAAAAGGAAATTTTGTTTAAAACAGCACTTGACAATTCCATTTTTCAAAGTGCAACCTTTAAAACATTAACAAATACATAAAAAATAGTAATATAAACATGACTATACAGTATATTTACAGTTCTAACATTATTATTATTGTTTTTTTCATTAATATTAATAGGTTTGAAGGCTGGGAAACGCTGCAGATGATGGATCAGATGCTGAGATGCATCTCATTCCCTCTTTATTAGATTTTATGTTTAAATGTTGATTAAGTTTCATTTTCTAAATCACTTTTAATGCCATTTAAATACTCTAATAAATCTCTAATAGTTATTATGTAGAACTTCTGTTTAGTTCAAATTGCAATATTATTCTTAAAATTTTGAAATCACAGTAAATCTGTACCAGGATAGTATTTTTTTTATGTTCTGTTTACCAATACAGTGAGAAAAAGAGGAAAATTAACTTTTTATTGGGTTCTTTAAAAATAAAAAGAGTTTTTTTTTATCATTTAAAGCAAAAATATTAATTTTACTTTTGTAATTAAGTACAATATAAAACCCATATTTTATTTTAATCAAGTATTCCTATAATAAATTTTTAGTAAAGAAGAATATGAGTGACGGTAAGATGAAGATTCTTGAAGCTCTGAGGCTTTGATCCAATTATTGACCTCATGGGCAGCATGGTGTAATTGTTCTATGGCGCCATCTAGTGGACAATACATATAAAAGCTGTGACAACAATGATATGTTTTTTTTTTCGTTTTGTTTTGCTCATCTAAATCTTTAAACTAAATAAACAACTATATTTGATGCTAAGATTTTTTTAATATGGTCTCAGTTTGGTTTTGATACATGATGAAATACCTGGAAACAGAATGGTTGTAATTTGAATGTGCTTATGTTAAAAGGGACAGATGTTTATTGATTTTTATTTTAAAATTAACTTCTTTTACTGTATTGTGGTTCTTTTTAAAGGAGAGGAATCAAAATACTAGAGAATGCGATGACAGGATCAGCAGCGTTTTGCTGTGCTTTTAAAAACAGCCAACAGGCGAAACAGATCCTGAATCAGTGACGGGGTTCGGCCGGCTATCGAGGCCTCGAACGCCATCGACATAATCCTAAAAACACTTCACTAAACATCACACACCTCACTACTTTTGACACCTCCGATTTATATTCTAGTAGAGTAAACGCTGCAAATCAAGTCAGATTAAAGAGGCTGGTTTGCCTAAAAAGAGGAAATTTGGTGCAAAAAGAAAAGAAAATATAACAACCTCAATTAACTGAATTTTAAGGGTTTATCTTTTTTTTATTACAGTACCTGGAGTTCTGCTCATCTTTGTGCCGAAGGATCGGGGAGCTTGTCGTAGAGTTGCTGCTCTCATCTTCCTCCTCATCCTCGGCTGTGCATTTCTTCTGACTGTCCTGCTGCCGGAGGTCTTCCTCACTGCGGAGCCTCTGCAGCTGGTTCTAAAAGACAAAAAAATATATATACAGACATTTAATAACAAACCAAATAAAATCACAGCATCATCTGAATCACATCAGAATCATTTTTTGCCAACCTGGACGTTGCAGACTGCATCGATCCAGCTCCGCCCCTGGGTGGCGCTGTTGGCTTGGAAGGTGTAGGCTGCCACTGCACTCTTGAACTCGTTCAGGTAGATGAGGATAAAAGAACCTAACATAAAACAAATCAGAAACAGGTTATTTTTGTTCTTTAAGCATCTTATGCTTAACGTCGTTGATGTTCTTCGTCGTCGAGGATTTCCTGCTTTTCTTTGGGTCAAAAATGTAGATAAATCAAAACAAAATAATCCCCAGCAGAGAACTCACCGGGATCTTTGAGCTCCTTACAGATGACCTTGTCGATGAGGAGAGGTTGCCTGATAATTTTAACCTTTTCCACTCGTTTCACCGGTTTGGTAATGAGCAGCAGGTCGGTGAACAGGAAGCAGTAGACCTCCATCTGCAGGACAGGAGTCAGAAACCAGCTGTGACTTCAAAGAAGGGAAGACGTGGTGCGTTTACAAGCAGGCCGTGTGACTCAGCCTTACCCTGCTGTCCTTGCCCTCTTTCATCCTCAGAGCTCCCTCCAGGTGCAGCTGTCTCGTCTCCTCTGGTGACGTCCCTCTCATGGGAGACATTAGGTCCAAGTGGTTGTACTCTTTCAGGATCTGATAAAAAGAAGAAGACAAAAAAACAAACAAATAAAGCAAGAGTTGACATGAAGTCTGAGGAGTGAAAGCAGTGCAGCTCCAAAGGTAAGCCTCTTACCTTTTCCACTTCTTCACTGCTGCCCTCCACAGCCTCGTAGGAGTCTATCCGGGCAGAGATGGTGGCCAGCTTCTGCTCCTCCTGACGCTGCCGCATCTTGGAGTCCACGCTGTTGATGAAGCGCTCCACCGTGACCAACTGAAACAAAAACACCCCCCCGTTAGGAGCCGAACGGATCGCCGCAGGAAAAAACGACGGCCGCCTGGGATCCTCACCATGCTGTTCACGGCGTCTCGGGCCGGCTGCTCGTCCGTCTTCTTCAGTATGCTCTTCAGCAGGAGCGGGTATTTGGTCAGTCTCTGATGAGGCTTCGCCAACATGTCGGCCAGCTTCAGACGGTTACACTGCTTATGGGTCTCTGCCCACTAAACAGAAAAAACAAGCGAACAATGAGATGGAAAATCAAGCCAGAATTAAAAAAATAATAAAAATGGAAGAGGAAGACGGGCGTGTCGGGTCACTAACCGTGACATACGTCCTGAAGAGGTCGTTGTCCCTGAGAATTGTGCGCATGTACTCCATGCAGGCCTCCTCCTCCATGCAGTAACGGACGTACGGCTTGAACCTCGACTCAAACTGAGAATGAAGACAGAAAACGGAGATATTATTACAACAGCGAGGGGGGGGGGGGTATCAGAAACAACGGTTATTTTAGCTCTACTGGAGTCACTGAACAGATAATTACTCATAACAAAATCCTTATTCAGAAATGATTCAACATTAGAGTGGTTTTAGTGCTACACTAGCAGCCATTCGCCAGCTGAATGGCTGCCTACTTCCCTGCAACTCCCAGCATAATCCCCTCCTACTTCCAGCCACTGGCCTTCTCCTGGGCGTGCATATTTTTTTACTCTGAGTCCACCCTTTCCCTGAATAACAGGGTCTGACCAGGAGATGACGCTTCTCTTTAGATCTTAATGTAAGATGTAATGTAAGGAATTGTAGGGGACCAGCCAATAGCCTCGTGAGACCATCCTGATCTTGCGAGCTTTCAAGGTTTCAATCGCAGATCAGTCTGGAGACTCTCCGTTAAAGAAAATTTGGAGCCGTTCACCAAACGAACGTCCAATCAGCGTTGGCTTTGAGGCGGGTTGAGGTGTGACGCAACGAGAAGCGCGACAGTTCAGTCTAAAGAACATGGCGGCTTCAGCCGATGAAACTAGCGTTATCGTGGCTATCCAGCAAGTTTTATCGGAATTACAGAGTATTTCATCACTGAAAGAAGAGCAAAACACTGCTCTGGAGGCTTTTCTCAGTGGAAAAGATGTTTTTGCTCTTCTCCCGACTGGTTTCGGCAAGAGTTTGATCTATCAATTGGCTCCTCTTCGTCGTCGCTCTGTTAGTACGTCATATGCTTCGTTGATCTGATTGGTTTATTTGGCCCGTCTATCACCAACATAGGCCAATCAGCTAACCAGTATTTTCGCCCCTTCCCAAAATTACTTCTACGGAAGGTTTCCAGATGGATATGCGGAGCAAATCCAACTGGCGGAGTCAGGTTAACCAGCCAAGGGCCCATCAAGGAAAGTGGGGAAAATTTTGAATGGCTACTACTGTAACTAGATAATTACTTGCAACAAAATAATTTTTTTTTCAAACGGCGTACCCCAAAGCTTGCTTCCTGCCACACTTCTTTTTCCACTGATTTGCACAATTTCTCTTTGTTCTGGTTCTGATTTATGTTTCCAGATGCTCCAGAAATGCTAATGCTGCGGAGCATTTAGGCTTTATGCTTTTACCTTCAAACATACCAATAGATTCATAGATTTTATCTGCTAGACCAGGGATCTGCTACCTGCAGTTCCAAACCCTTAACTGGCAGCTTGGCTTCATGGCTCCCTTAGTATATTAAACATGAAATCTTTCCAGGTTTTTTTGGTTTTGTCAATTTTCCCCCCCCCCCATGAAGCAGCACTGTAACCTGACTCCGCAAGATGGATTTGCTCCTCATATCCATCTGGAAACCTTCCGTAGAAATAATTTTGGGAAGGGGTGAAAATACTGGTTAGCTGATTGGCCTATGTTGGTGATAGACGGGCCAAATAAACCAATCAGATCAACGAAGCATATGACGTAACAGAGCGACGACGAAGAGGAGCCAATTGATAGATCAAACTCTTGCTGAAACCAGTCAGGAGAAGAGCAAAAACATCTTTTCCTCTGAGAAAAGCCTCCAGAGCAGTGTTTTGCTCTTCTTTCAGTGAAGAAATACTCTGTAATTCCAATAAAACTTGCTGGATAGCCACGCTAACGCTAGATTCATCGGCTGAAGCCGCCATGTTCTTTAGACTGAACTGTCGCGCTTCTCGTTGCGTCACACCTCAACCCGCCTCAAAGCCAACGCTGATTGGACGTTCGTTTGGTGAACGGCTCCGAATTTTCTTTAACGGAGAGTCTCCAGACTGATTAGCGAGTGAAACCTTGAAAGCTCGCGAGATCAGAATGGTCTCACAAGGCGAGCAGCACTGGCGCCATCCTGGGAAATTTGATCTTGAACTGCTGCTACTTATAAGTAACAATGTTAGGTAATTTATCAAAGAGCTCTAAGGAGTCAAATACATCATCATTATTATTATTATTACAATAAATCAATCATGAATTAAAACCTTTACTCTCCATTAAACAAATGTTTTTTTTTCTTTTTAATTCTCCTTGATTTTTGTTAATGTTCTTGGTCCGTTTTTTGTTACCACTCTAACTTTCCGCAGCATATTCTGGCTGCCACTGACCGTGCTGAAGCCGTCATGGAGGTGGGTGGGGTCGAGCAGCGCCCGGGCCTCCCTGGCCTGCCTCAGAACCGGCAGCATGACCTGGTTCCACAGGGAGGTGTGGAGCCGGACGATCTCCTGGATGTTGCTGAACAGCTTGGTGGGGTCCACCTCCGTCAGCAGACCGCTCTCCTGCAGGTTGAGCAGGCCGGACTGGAACAGCTGGAGAAAAAAACGCAGGGAAAGTTTAAGATCGGAATTCCATGAAGTGTTTACTGCAGAGATATGGAACATTTTACTGCTTTTCAGCCTCAACAAGGAACTCGTTGAGTATCTTATCTTCCAGGACACAGACGTCCTGTTGCTCAACACCCTGTTACAGTACGGGACGGTTTGATGAGCGGCGGCAGCATGCAAACCGCTTTCATTGCACTTACATCAGTGATGACTCGCAGCTTTTTTATATAGGTGGCCTCTGTGTGCAGAAGTTCCCATATCGCCTCCTGCTGGTGGAACTGTCGCCTCGTCAGCGCCTGCATGAAAATACAGAGGTTTTCCTGATGAGCATGACATGAAAGACGGCGCCTAATTAGCTTCACCAATCCAGCAGTTACTGGAAGGCTCAATAAATGGGTTTATTGTGGATCAAAAACAATCTAGGAAAATTAATCAGTTAAATTGTTGTTAAAGAATTTATTATATAAATAGTTTCAATACAAAAAAACACATTTTTTAGTATGCAGATGAGAATATTTTTGCTCTCAACTCCATAAAAAAGTTAACTAGAAAAATTCCAACCTTTAGATAATATGTTTAGGTAAGGATTCCGCCGCTTACTGCATGCGTGGAAACTCATCATCATGTTATCCCACCCTGAAACTGACCAGCTGCCTCATTTTTATCTTCACCCAGCATCAATTTCAAACCGTGCTGCCTTGCATGTAAACGGGAAGTGGGAAAATCAACGCTCATTTCCTCTTTTTGTTTTTCTTTGCAGGTATAAAGCTTTTCTTTTTTTTTTTTTTATCATTTATACAAATTTTTCAAAAGAAAACAAGGACTAATAAGAAGCTATCTGTAGTTAGTAATAGTAAAATAATAAACTAAGGCAAAGTTAAATGCTGAATTCCCATTTTTGATGCATTATCAGCATCAGAACTCCAAACAATAAACTTTCAGCAACTGTTCTTGCTGTTAAACTGGAATGTGATTCAACAAAATGTTACTTTTTGCTACTTTATTTATTTGTGCTGATGAAAAAAAGTAAGAGTTTCTTTTTTTTTTTTTTACATCTGTGCAATTTGACCAACGCCTTAAAGTTATAAAAACAATCCAGCTCAGACAGAAAGCTGGTTGAAGAGCAGAAAGCTTCAATTTAAGCACCTAAAAATGACCTCTGCTGGTCTCACATTTTAATCCGTCATTAAAAATTAGTTACTCATGAGGACAAAGGTTGACAGGGCTGGAATTAGCCTTCCCTAAACTTCAGTTACAGTAAGCCCAGTATCTCAGAGGTTTATTGCTGTTCTTAACTCTCTCCAAACAGCTGTTTATATTAGTCACCAAAAAGATGAACAAAAAAAAGCAACAAAGTTTTTCCATCAAAACATTTTAACCCCATTAAAGCCCGATCCAAGAATAAAACAAAACAGAAAATTACTTTATTTTGGTTTGAATTCCTTATTTGGCCTTTTAACAAAATATGTAAAAAGAAAAAACAGAAATACATGTTTGATATTAATAATTTATTACTATGCCATAAGTCAAGATTATTTTTTGTGTAGTCGTCTACTGGCTGTTATCAGGTATATCTGATTGTGTACAATAGGATTTTGTGCAAAGTTTTTACCATTAAATTATGCAAAAGGTGTCAGATGCAAAACATATCAGAAACCGTATGTATCAAATATGATACATTTGGCATTATAGGGTTAAGCACGCCCAGAGTGGTGATCTTTTAAAGCTCCTTTTCTAAAATATTCCTTCCTTCTTAACCCCTTTATAGCTCTAAGCTCACTCTGTGAAATACTTTGATAATCTAAATGTCAAGCCCATAGTGTGATTAGAATCCAGGACCTTATTACCTTTGTAACATTTAATACAGATGGATATTTTGATGGCAAAAATTTATTTCAATGTAATAACAAGAAACGCCACCTTTCCCAAATATATTAAGAAAAATAACAAAAGTGCTTCTATAAGGAATTCATGAGTGAAAGAAACACTTTTTTTTTGGTACAACAACCTTAGATGCATTAATGCTGATACTGGCACTTATATTTTTTAGTTTATAAACCTAAATATAATTGTCAACTAGACTTATTAACTTTTTTAACTTTACTTTTTAGCTTATTAAACAACTTTTTACCTTTTTTACTTGACTTATTAACTTTTTTCCCCCCACTTAATTTCCAGTAGCTAATATATCATTGAAGGGCTCATATAATTGATCAAATGCCAAAATAAGATGTACATCCATGTAGCAGGATCTTTGCTGAACGGCTGGATATAGATCTTGAGTTTCTAGACCTCGCTGAGGGATTAGATTAGATGATTAGATTAGCTTTATTGATCTCACAACGGAGAAATTCACTCGTCGCATATTGGCATACAAGTTACAGAAGGTGCAAACAGGGAGGAAAAAGGTGCATTAAGAATAAACAATATATATACAGTATATCAAGATAAATAGGATTAAGGTGCAAATGTACATGTATTGCACACAATAAAAACAAAATAAAAATAAGAAATGAAAATATGTACAATCCGGATGGCTTATATGCAGGTGGAGAAATATTGTACAGTAATAAATAATAGGAAAAAAAAAAAGGGGGATGCTCCATTTGTAAGGGATATGCAAGTAATCAAAAAGTGATGCCTTATAAAGGGTTAATTAGACATTAAATTGAACATCAAAATGGCTCAAACTAATCAGAAACACAACCAGAAGTTTAAAAGGAGCAACCAGCTAAATGTAGAGACCATTCAATCGATGAGCAGTTCTCATTCAACAATCCAAATCCTCCCTTTTAGCAATTAAGAATAATCAGGAAATTTGCAAATTCCGAGTAACTCTGGGAGCGTTTAACCTTGCAGTACCAACGCTGAACCTTACGTAAGGCCTTCAGCAGTAAATGTCGTACGGCAGGGAAATTACAGCAGCCCGGCAACCATCTGATTAGCCAGGTACACATTAACAGGTGAAAGCAAATGACGGCGGGAGATTGACGCTATCATTTCCAAAGGCATTTACTGCTCTTCAGCGGTCGGCTAAAAACCTGCTCCGTAAGCTTTATTACTGCGATACAGGTAACAAGGGAAGCTGTGTTCTGTCAGATCAGCATACCTAGAGTCAATATGCATGCGCAAGACATCAGTTTTGCATTTATCCCTTTAGTTTTGTACAAAAAAAAATCTATTTAAGGTCAAATCGCCATACGTAAAAAAAAAAAAAATCCATAATGTAAATGATTAAATTGTTTTTTTTTGTACATGACTAAAGGGATAAAAGCCTGTTGAGGTAGTTTAAAGTTTATTTTTCATACACTGGGTATTGACGATGGGTATGCTCATCTGACAGAACAAAGGCAAGGATGGATGATAAGGAGGGTACAGGAAGAAGACATCCTTATGAGCAAACGTCACGTTTGGTTACTCTCCCCGATGTACAGGTGCTGGTCATAAAATTAGAATATCATGAAAAGTAGATTGATTTCAGTAATTCCATTTAAAAAGTGAAACTTGTATATTATATTCATACATTACATACAAACTCATATATTTCAGATGTTTATTTTGTTTAATTTTGATGATTACAAATGACAACAAATGAAAATCTCAAATTCATCATATCAGAAAATTAGAATATTGTGAAAAGGTTCAAAATTGATGGCCCCTGGTGCCACACTCTAATCAGCTAATTAACTCAAACCACCTGCAAAAGCCTTTAAATGGTCTTTCAGTCTAGTTCTATAGGCTACACAATCATGGGGAAGACTGCTGACTTGACAGTTGTCCAAAAGACGACCATCGACACCTTGCACAAGGAGGGCAAGACACAAAAGGTCATCGCTAAAGAGGCTGGCTGTTCACAGAGCTCAGTGTCCAAGCACATTAATAGAGAGGCGAAGGGAAGGAAAAGATGTGGTCGAAAAAAGTGTACAAGCAAGAGAGATAACCGCACCCTGGAGAGGATTGTGAAACAAAACCCCTTCAAAAATGTGGGGGAGATTCACAAAGAGTGGACTGCAGCTGGAGTGAGTGCTTCAAGAACCACCACACACAGACGTATGAAAGACATGGGTTTCTGCTGTCGCATTCCTTGTGTCAAGCCACTCTTGAACCACAGACAGCGTCAGAAGCGTCTTGCCTGGGCTAAAGAGAAACAGGACTGGACTGCTGGTGAGTGGTCCAAAGTCATGTTCTCTGATGAAAGTAAATTTTGCATTTCCTTTGGAAATCAAGGTCCCAGAGTCTGGAGGAAAAGAAGAGAGGCACTTCATCCACGTTGCTTGAAGTCCAGTGTAAAGTTTCCACAGTCAGTGATGGTTTGGGGTGCCATGTCATCTGCTGGTGTTGGTCCATTGTGTTTTCTGAGGTCCAGGGTCAACGCAGCCACATACCAGGAAGTTTTAGAGCACTTCATGCTTCCTGCAGCTGACCAACTTTTTGGAGATGCAGATTTCATTTTCCAACAGGACTTGGCACCTGCACACAGTGCCAAAGCTACCAGTACCTGGTTGAAGGACCATGGTATCCCTGTTCTTAATTGGCCAGCAAACTCTCCTGACCTTAACCCCATAGAAAATCTATGGGGTATTGTGAAGAAGAAGATGCAATACACCAGACCCAACAATTCAGAAGAGCTAAAAGCCACTATTAGAGCAACCTGGGCTATCATAACACCTGAGCAGTGCCACAGACTGATCGACTCCATGCCACGCCGCATTGCTGCAGTAATACAGGCCAAAGGAGGCCCAACTAAATACTGAGTGCTGTACATGCTCATACTTTTCATGTTCATACTTTTCAGTTGGCCAACATTTCTATAAATCCTTTGTTTTTATTGGTCTTCAGTAATATTCTAATTTTCTGATATGATGAATTTGAGATTTTCATTTGTTGTCATTTGTAATCATCAAAATTAATCAAAATAAACATCTGAAATATATGAGTTTGTATGTAATGTATGAATATAATATACAAGTTTCACTTTTTAAATGGAATTACTGAAATCAATCTACTTTTTCATGATATTCTAATTTTATGACCAGCACCTGTAAACCATGTAGGAAGCTCCTGTGCGTACCTCAGAGTTGTCCAGCAGCGTCTGCCAGCTGTCCTCCATGACCAGGTTGGCCTCCTCCTCTTCCTCCTCCCAGGAGTCTTGGTGGAAGGAAAGCTGCCGCGGCACCTTGGGGAGCCCGAATAAGGAGTAGGAGTGGAGCTTGCTCTGGAGCTGCTCAAGACGGTCCAGCTCCTGCAGAAGGAAAAAGACCCGAGGATGATGACATGCTCCTCTAAGAGAGGATTATTTACACATTTAAACTGAAGATAAAGTTTTTCTGCATGGTCTGTATAATAAAAAATCAGCTTTTATATTTAAACCCAACTGTAGACGCTACCCGGCTCTTTGTTCAAACCGGCAGGCTTTACACAGTTATGACAATGAGCTCTGTGCATTGAGACCACTTTAACAATAGGCAGCAAGAGAATAGGGGGGGGGGTGAAGGCTACAGTTGGGCTGAGACCAAGCGGTGCCTCCCTAATTAAACGACAGATATTAGAGAGAAGGTTATTAGATGTGAGCCTGTTAGTGTGGTTTTTTTGGGACAGAGTGACTGGCGGGTGTTTGACCCTGCAGCACAGAGGATGACGGAGGTCTGGTTTCTGGTCCCCAGAGAGTTAAAGAGGGCAAATCTGCTAAATTATGACAGAGAGTCTGCAGATGTCCCGGATGTGAGCTGAGGGGTCAGACGCTTTTAGATGTTAATGCATAATATTGTGTAATGCATAATAACATTTACAAACAGGTTTATCACAATCCACTTTCATCTGTAAACCTATGAGGGACTATTTAGGCAAAAAAAAACTGTGGGGTACTACTTTTTTAATGCCTTTATTGATGTATACTTTGTTTTTTCTTTTGCCTTATAAATCTATATTTACTAACCCCTTGAACCCTACGGACCCACCGGCGGGTCCAGCTGCTACGTGACCTCGTAATTTTACCAAACCCCCAGTATTGATGTAAAAAACATATTTGGCACAGTTTGGTGACATTTTTGGATAAATGTGCCAAAATGGCCTCTCCGCCTAAGAAATTTCTCAGTAATACCATTCTAAAATAAATATGATTCATCTGATTGAGTCCAAATTTGGTATATTTTTACACAACATTTAGATTTGAAAGTCTGTACTACTTTTTTGTGCTATAAATAATATTTTGGTAGTGTTTTGCAATGTTTATTTCAAAGAAAATTTTGGCGAGGTTCAAAAAATGCAAAATATTTTGTATTTTGTCCCTAATATTTCAGGCAGGGTCAAAGCTACAATGGTGCTGACACCAGAAAACCATTCTATGACATCTTACCTTTAAAGACATACCAAAAGTTTCTTTTTAAATCTAATAGCTTTGAGGCTATAAGTTATCTACTTTTGTGTGTTTTTGTCAGGCAGAAATTTATTTATACCCCCTTAGGGTGTAAGAGGCTAACAGAAACAAAAAAGGATATTTTGAAAGATTTTACATGAAGATATTTATCTCCTCGCTCCAAATGTCAGCAGAAATTTTGAATTTTGTCAGAGATGGTGAACATTTATGTGTGCAGGGTTGTTTATATGTTGGTTGGATTTACAAAAACTAACAGAAAAAATGGAATATGGCTGATCACTTTAACTTTTTCTTCTGATTAAATAGATTTAAAGTATATCCAAGTATAGTCGTTGCAAAATATTACGCCTACAAGTTAAAGTGAAAAAAATTATTAAAAAATTACTTAAAAACACAAACTGCCACTGTTAAAAAACAAAAAATGACTAATCAGAAGCTTGCAAAGCACAATAACTCTTTCAGAAAACTCATATTCTTTCTTAAGCAGATCCCTCGGTTATATGTTTTTACTTTCATTATCCTTTTTGCTGTAACAGGTTCAGAAAAAAGTATTTTTATAAACTAAAAGGCACATATTGCTTTTATTCACCCATTTATTTATGCATTTAGCGTATGAAGCTAAGTGATGGCTACAGAGGGCTGCGTTACTCTCAGTAATGAAGGAAAACTGGAGACAACAGTCTAGTGTCGCTAACTTAGTGACTTTGTTCTTTTGACAAAAACATTGCTTTAAAGGCCTTAAAAGTCCTTCAATATAGCGACAGAGACATATCTAGTCGCTTTTCTCTGTGTTTAGCGACCTCCTGTGAAAGCAGCATCGTTATCGTCTCATAGAACCCAGAGCTGCTGTCTGGTCTCCCTGCTTCGCTAAGCAAAGCATCACAGCCGGCTACCTCGTCCTTTTAGCTCCAGATGCTATCAGACCTTCTGCTTTCCCACAGCTAAATTAAAAAGCTGCTAATGATTCTGACCTGGACTACAAAGCGGGTTATAAGTATCTCGTAAATGTGGCTTTTAATCAAGTCTCCTTTTTGTTTTTCTCTGAAACTGATGCACTAGAATCACCTGATCGCCACACTGCTTGGATCACTTATTCACCTCATAACACATATGCGACTGATTACTGCCTGTTTGGTCATATTAGATGTATGCAGAGTAAGGTTGTCACGATACTAAACTTTTCCACTCGATACCGATACTAAGTAAAATATTCAATACTCGATACCATTTTCGATACCACAAGAATAAAAACAGACTCTAAAATTCGACAGAAATATTTTCCTTACTAAAAAAATACAATAAATAAATAAAAAAACAATAAGAATAATATTTTGTGGTTGTATGCTGTGCTTAATATTAAGCAAGCTTGATAAAAAAAAAAACGTACAAAATTAAAATTAAGTGTTCCTTCCTTGGCTATGCTTTGCAGACATAACAATGACACTAGCCAAACCAGTTAAACAAAAATAATTCTCAGCAGCTGCACCTGTTACAGAAAAAGTCTGAAACTGAAAAATGCACAGAATTATTCAATCACACAGTGGATTTTCCTCTATTCTGCACTTTAGATGGCTGTATTGATACTTTTGAAAAAGAGTATTTTATCCGGATACAACGTTTCAGTATCGATACTTTTGACAACCTTAATGCAGAGTGGATTCAGCAAATGGATGAAAAATCATACATTAAATAATATATACATATATTTTTAGTCGTTACACTGTCACAAGTACAGAGCAAGGAAAATTAACTCTCTGCATTTAACACATCCACTTGCGGAGCAGTGCGCTGCCATTGTGCGGTGCCCCAGGAGCAATCAGAGTTTAAGGGTCTTTTGTTGCTCAGGGACCCACAGTGGCAGTCTGTGGAAGTGGAGCTTGAACTCGGAACCTGTGGATTCAAAGCGCTATGCCCTAACCACTTTTTTTTGTTATTGTATGACTATAATAATGCACTATATAATCGGCCCCCTATCGGTATCGGCCTTAAAACTGAATATCGGACATCGGCCACCCCACCGATATTTAACCCGATATTTGATCAGCTTCTGAGTTTCTAAAGTAAAAAAAAAAAGAAATTAAATACTACTTCTTCTTCTTCCTCAAAAACTTCTTTTTTTACAGACTTAAAAACTTCTAAAGACAAAATATTGATACATTAAAATATCCCAATATCTTCATATGCTGATATATTGCCATTTAAAAACACCATATATATCTCTTTTACTAATGAAATATTGCTATATGTCATCGAAATTTTGCCATATTTTTATATGTTGATATATTGACGCGGTATCGATCTATTTTACTTACAAAATCTCATAAGAATTTGCAAAATATCACGAGAGTTTGTAACAGAACGATGAAATTTCACAAGATTTTGAAAGTAAAATAGATCGATACCGCGTTTTTAAAAATCAATTTGATATCAGCATATGAAAATATATTTGAGTTTATTATTTTTCAAAGTGTCAGAAATGGATAACAAAACTGCTATTTTCAATGACTACTTATTTTTGTCCAGCTTTAACATCGGTATCGGTATCGGCTACATGAGTTTTAAAATATCGGCATATCGGATATCGGCCAAAATCCCAATATCGTGCATCCCTAATCATAACGAATAATGCATTTTAATGACATTTTAACAACAGTTAACTAGTTATTAAAAATTATAGCTTGGATACAGATACGTTTCCCCCCCATGGTTAAAGAAGAATCCTAAAGGAAACCTGGTCAATTGAAGCAGATTATAAATGTAGATGAAATGTGTGTTAGAGATGCGATATGAACCAATTAGCTCTAAATCTGGATATTTATCTAATTTTTCTAAACTAAAATGTTGGCTTTAAGCTTTAAGGTCAGTAGCTTTTGAATCTTAAGAGTCTTTTGGCTGAATCTCGGTGAGTGAAGGCTTTTCCCTCCACCCACTCATTTCCACAGCAGCTGGGAGGAAAGTAAGCAAGGCAACAAGTCAGGAGGCCGTAAAGGGAAATGATTTCACCAGGGCCGGCGGGATGTGGCCTTCTGACCTCCTCCCACTACAGCCTACTACTGTTTGGTTTGCATCTGAATGCTTTCCCAATGAGAGTCACCTCTGGGCAGCAGACATGTTCCCTCCAGCTTTTAACAGCGCGGCTCAGGGGGATCAAGAAAGAGCGGCGCTTTGATTGACCCTGCAGGCGCGGCCTCTTGTGTTTCACACACTTGTCTCTGCGTTACCTTGCCAAAGGGCCCCGCTCCGGCATTGGAGCCAAACAGGCCGCTGAAGCGGCTGGCGGCACGGTTCTTCCAGCTGTCCGGCCCTGCCCCGACGGCGGGCAGAGAGCCGCCCAGTTGTCCCAGAGCATCCGGGCTCGGAATGTTGGTCTCCCCCAGGAACTCTGTTATGTTCTTCCTCCGCCGCGACTGACCCTACAAGGAGACACACAGACAACAGTCGAATAAATAGAAAGTGAAACAAACCGTTTCCTTATCAGTAATTGTTCCTTTTCAAGAGAAAACAAAAGATTCCCAACGAGCAGTTGGAAAAAAAAAATTAAAAATAGACAATGACAGAAAGAGGGAAATAAACCAAGACAGGGTGAGCAGGAAATGAGGGGAATTTCAGGGTGAAGGATGACATCAACTGGACGGTTACGGCCATCCTCACGGTGGGACACAAACAGGAGAGGGAAGAACTGCCACTTCCTGACAGCCAGAGCTCTTGACATCACAAGGAGCAGGCAGCAAGGTTGTTCCATAGGAACAGACTGTTTCGAGTCTGGCCATTGTTCCCCGGACCATTGTTACCCTGTCAGCAGGCCTGGCCGCACAGCCCGCTCCAGCAATCTCTGTCCGCTTTACGAGCCGCAGCAAAGCAAATAAACAGGGGCCACCTCGGTATCGGAGGAAGCAGTTGTTTTTGTCGTCCGAGTGTCAGTGCTGAGGAATCCGCTGCTGGTGGCGGCGTGCGTTTGACCCTCACCTCATCAAACAAACCGTGGGGAAATTTCACATTCCTCCACACTGATGCTGAAACCCACCACTCATTCCGACAATGTTGTTCAAACCCCCCCCAAACTAAACACACACGAGCAAACACATGCTATGCAGACAAAACACAACAAGCAGCCCCTCACCGAGGTGCACGCTTCCTTTCAGCACCTCAACCAGGCTCACCATGACATTTTAAAGTTACTGTTGCACATCGGGGTTTACTGGGGATTCTAAGAAGTTTGGATTTAGAATTTAAACACAGATCAAAACAAAAACTACAACCTGAGGGTTGAAGAAAACCTTTTTCTGCATTTTGTTCAACTAATTAATCCACATTTCCTCATTTCTCTGAGGTGTGATTCATCAAAATAATAATAGAAAATAGAGATTACTAACAGAGAATAAAAGAAATGTTCTATGGAAAGCTGTTTTATTCAAAGTAGATTAAAATAAAGTTATAAATAATCTAATAATAAAAAATAAATACGTTTTTCCAAGTTTGAAGACGTTTCATTCCCATCCAGGAAGCTTTTTCAATTAATTTCTTGAATTTAACGTCCAGTCGTTTATTTTTATTTTTTTACTTTTTTGGAATGACTACGGCCCTGATGACCGAGAATCTTCACCAGCATAAGAAACTGAATCATAAAAACACAATTTATGCATAAAATTAAAATTTATCTTACTTTGCGATTCATATATATGAATATTTATTGAGATTTGTTTATTTCAAGAGGCTCTCTAAGGATTTCCTGTAACATTTATTTCAAGATATATTTATTTATATTAAGCTTTATTAATATTAAGATTAAAATAAATTCTTAAATACATTTACAATATAATAAAAATATATATCTATTTGAAAACAGAATCTTTGAAACATAAATACTAGAAATATGGAAGTAAATAAATAAACAATGACAAAAAACATGTAAAATATTTTGAGTGTATTTATTGGATTTCATTGAAGTTACATTTGTTTTATGTGATGAAATATTTATGAATATTTTTTAATAATACTATTTAATTTTGAACGAAACGGCTCTCCATACTTTTCGGCAGGGATTTGGGAATTATGAATAAATATTATCTGAATGTACATGTAAACTTATTGGAATAAGATAAAGTTAAAGAAAGTATCTTATAACGTGTGTTTTTCAAGACTTTTTTATATTAAAGATTAGAAACTGAAATATTTTAAATTCAATTAAAGCTTGTTGCAAACAGCAGGGGGCCAACATTAGAGAGAGCTTTTTAAAGCCGATGCTGATACCCCTTATTTTAACATCAGATCTCTGATCTCTGATATGTGAGGGACAATTATTGCCAATTTTTCTGTTTACATAAGAAAAATGACACGATGACAACAGATGTTACACAAGACTTAATTCGAACACACAAAAAAATATTTATTAACGTTAACGACTGTTTGCAATTGAAGGGAGCGGTTGCTGAATGCGACCATGAATCTGCCAATGCATGCACGTATTGGTCAACGCAAGAAAAAAATAAATAGCTAATGTTAGCCAAAAATATCGGCAAGCCAAAATATAGGCCTATCTCTAACCCTCACGTCTAAAAATAGCCTCAAAATTCAAACGTATGCATCATCCTGGATTTTTTCCAATACGTTAAGAGAAATAATTAAAATGTATTTTATTCGCTGGCTTTTTTATACACGAGGAATTATGACTTCGGTTCCATTTTGTTCTCGAAGATATTTGTAATGTAGGTATGTAAAAAACATGTTTAGAAACGTCTTTTTAAAAGGAGGAAGAAAATGTTTCAATAGTTCAAATCAAATAAAAAACAATTAGTTACTAGAAGGCAAAAAATATTGCCAAACATACTGATATCGATGAATAATTCAACTGAAAGCAATAGAAATTATCATTCCTCATCAACTCGTTTTCATGCATTGCATTAACTGGAAAAAGACATTTATAAATAAAGTAACTTTTATTTATTATATGATGGGTTAAATCACTGGTAACAGGTAATCAGAGATGCATCGAAATGATCTCCTGGTGACTAAGATGAAAGCTCAACCATGTCCGACTAGTGTGACACTCAAAAATCCGATGCTGTTCTGATCAGTGAACGTGTTGATCAGGTTACAGTAACTCAACCATCCTTTGTGTGGATGCTGTTCCTGAAACACTAACTGTAGAAAATAACATTTTCAGTTTCAGACTGTTCTTTAAAACATATTGGGGGGTAAAAGTGAGATACAGAAGCTACATAAAACATTTTTTTTTTTTTGTTTACAATACCTCAAAGGATATTAGAGAACCATATATGCAGCAGGTAACAGGAAGGCTAAAGATGAAAGCAGGGCTCCAATTAATCCATTTGGACGACCAACGATAACAGCTCCATTTCACACAGTTTGATGTTCAGTTTTCCCCATTGTATATAATTAAGATCAGTAAACTCTTTTGCATGGTGATATGTCTTTATATTATTCTAAATTGACAAAAGGACAAAGCAGATCTTTTTTTTTTTTTCAGAACCGAGCTCTCAGCGATCGCACGGTGAATTTCTGGAAACGATCAAGGAAAAATTGATCACTGCTGGATTGATTGCACAACCGGTTCGCTCATGAGTGGGGATTTTTTCAGCACATGAAGCAACTTTGTGCTTTAGTTCCTAATAATAGAGTTCCCGAGAAGATGAACGACTTGACTAACATGAAACAACAGCCTTTAGGGAGTAAAGCATTACAAAAAAGAAAACTGAAAGTTAACATTAATTAGTGAAAAGGAAACCAAAGTAGGCCATGAAGGTTTTTCATTAACAAATGGAAGAGGACACAGGTGTTAGAAAGTCTAGATCAAACCACTTAAACCCTCACTGAGCATTTCCTCTCACACATTTGTACGAAGGGAATTTTGTCCCACTATTGTTGCAAGCAAAGAAAAGTTTTGGGAATGTAAATTTGGAAAAATACATTTCGTAAAATAACACTGGAAAAAAAATCGAAATCTAGAAAAGTCTTTTTTTTTTCCTGAAAATAAGTGCATCTGTTCTTGAATTGAGGAGGTAAAGGAGACATCTTGCCAATGGAACAAGACAATTTACACTTAAAATAAGAAAACACAATTGCATTGTCTTATTTCAAGTGCATATTATCTAATCATCTTATTTTAAGAGTAAAAATACTCATTCCATTGGCAAACTATCTCATTTACTTACTCAAATTAAGGGTAAATGCACTTAATTTAAAAACTTTACTTATTTCTAGATCGCTTTTCCAGTGAAGATTTAAAAGAAAAAAGGAATCCACTGCAAAAACGATCTAGAAATAAGTAAAAATTTCTTATTCTACTTAGAATAAAGATAAATACACTTAATTTAAGAAATTTTTACTTATTTCTAGATCGTTTTTGCAGTGGATTCTTTTAAATCTTCACTGGAAAAGCGATCTAGAAATAAGTAAAAAAGTTTTTAAATTAAGTGCATTTACCCTTAATTTGAGTAGGTAAATGAGATAGTTTGCCAATGGAATGAGTATTTTTACTCTTGAAATAAGATAATTAGATAATATGCACTTGAAATAAGACAATGCAATTGTGTTTTCTTATTTTAAGTGTAAATTGTCTTGTTCCATAGGCAAAATGTCTCTTTTACCTCCTCAATTCAAGAACAAATGCACTTATTTTAAGAAAAAATTACTGATCTAGATTTCGATTTTTTCCAGTGCAGGAATCAAATAAAAACAAACGCTCGCTCTTAACTCCTCATTGATCAATACAGCGCTGCTGCTAACGTCCATGCAGACCAATAGAGCCTTCGCTCCTCACTACAGAGGGAATCCACCCCCAGAAGTTGGAAAACTAATAGAAAGCCTGGATTTTTTTTAAATATAATTTTGCAAAACTTGTTCTCTTGTTTTTTTTTAATGCAACAATAAGGGAGCAAAACATTTGAATATATAGGAAAGAGCTGGAAGTTATAACCAAACAGAGGATAAAGTTATCAGCACATTCTCAGCATCGTAGCAGAGCTTACCATCGAAGCCAGAGGCATGTCAAAAGTAACAAAAACCATCCTAATCCTTCAGAGTGGCTCACGGATGGCAGCCCATCCTTCTGCCAGCTGCTGCTCTCAATCAAATTCTCGCCTCCTCCTTTTCCACTTCCACTGCTGGGACCTGTGAACATCCACGCCAGCCCTTCGCCCAGACCGTTCCAATCAGGATGACCAACCACTCTAATAATCTCCCTAAAGACACGTCCCGGCTGAACAGATCCAGTCGGCTTCCCCTCTCCTGATTAATCTGCCTCCTGTCCAGCTGTCTGGATGCGTCCAGCCTGCTTGAATTTCACAGGAACACTGGTGGGAAGTCGTAGCAACCAGGAGGAACCCGGCTCATTGTGAAGGAGGGAGAAAAGGAGGCTGATCTAAATATCTGGAGGTGGAGTCAGAGCGTGACA